CACACACACACACTTCCCCTTCCCTCTTTGGGCCTTTTCTTCCTATTTCACATTATCTATTATACATTTTTGTCCTCATTTACATTTTCAATTTCTCGGAAATGTCAAATTCTAGAGAACCAAATTCTTACAGCACCCTTGGGATACCCCACCCCCTAGAGATGGCAGCGGAATAGAATCTATTTAACAACGCTAGCAGTCCCGGGTTGAGATGAACGGTGCTAACACTTTGTAATGACTTAGCTCCTCTCTGGATCTGGTGTAAATTGAAGATGAAAATGTGTTTTCCAAAAATACACAGGCCGCTGCTGATGTCTGGGCCTGTCTCACCTCTGGTTACACAACGCTCTTGTTTGGGCTTCTCTTTGGGGCTCACGTGGCTGGGCTGGCATGCCACGAAACTTTCCAAAGTAAAGCCCTGTACCTTTCCCTGCTTTAAGCAAACAGAACATGTACTACACAGAGAAAGATTAAACCATCCTAGAGAATCACTGACCATGTGATGAAGCACAGTTAGTGGGACCACGAAACTAGCACCATCTTGGGTTAGCCTCATTGGCCTGCCACTGGCTCTTCTGATATTTTCAGGAATTGTTCTGTGGCTTGGGGAAAGGCAGACCTTCTCCAGACCCATATTTCATGCTTAAGATAAGCCTTCTGTATTTTCTTTTTCCAAATTATCTTCTCCTACTTCCAGGCTCCTTCCCTGACTACACAGCCACTCTTGACTGAACTATAATAAAGAAAAAAAAAGCAAAAGCAGAATTCCTGGCTCAGTTTCAGTTTTGAGATTATTAAAAGTCTAAGTCACAAGTTTTACCCTTTCCTTCCCTTCACCCCTTGGCACAAATGCAGCTTTCAGAATGGTCAGTAACAATAGGCCTGAGAATCCTGTAGTAAGCCCATGAGGTAGAACAAGATATTACAGCTGGGTAAGAATAATTAAACACTCATGCACTGCCTTTGCATGGCCTGAAAATAAAGACAGAAAGTGATTTCTCCAAGGTCACAGACATTCTTGATGAGCAAAGCAGATAACCTATGCAGAATGAACCAAAGTAAGAGCAAGCAAACTTTCCATATGTTCCGTATGAGACTATTTTTGTACCTGGTCTCTCATGTTTAGCTTCAAATTATACTTCTTCTGTAAGCATTCTCTGCTTCTTTCATGCATTTTATAATCATTCCTCCTTCTCTTTATCTTCTAGATCAGACACTATCGTCGTCTTTTTAGTATTGAGCTTTTCTTATTATCAATCCAGAAGAATAGGTCTTCTTCCTTAAATCATTAATTCAAACAGATATTCACTAAGTATTTGGAATTAGTCTAGGCAGTGTGTAAAAAGAAAGGAACAACAGACAGAAATACATATGCTTTAGTTTATATTTCTTCAGTGGAAAACAAGCAAAATGTAGACAAAAAGTAGTAAAAATATTCATCAGACTTTGGCAAAAGCTTTAAAGGAAAAAAGTATATAGAAGGCTGATTAAGACTATTGGAGTAGAAAGAGATTATAGTTTTAGGGGCAATCAAGGCCACTGTGGAAAAGAACAAGAACTAGAGGAGGTGATGGGGGAGCCTTGTGCATAGCAAGACAGCAACAACTGCGAGTTTGAAGGTGTTGAGGTGGCAGAGTGTATGTACTTAGAACAACTAAAAGGCCAGTTGGCTGGGGCAGAGTGAGCAGGAAAGAAGGAAGAGTTAGAAGATAGAGAAGAATGGAATCAGGATGTGTAGGGCCTTCAGCAGTAAATTCAGGGCCACAAAGGAATGCAAATGCAAAAGAATTATGGTTACTTTTACTCTTCACATACAGGACACCGTTGCAGGGTTTTGAGAGCCAAGAAATCACTTGATTTTCATTTTTGAGAATGATTATAGCTACTCTTTTTGAGAATAGAATCTAAGGAGGCAAGATAGAAGTACAACCAGCTAAGAATTTGCACTAAGACAGTAGAGAGAAGATGGTGGCTTGGACCACGATAGTGCCTGTGGAGGTGAAGAGAAGTGGTCAGGTGAAACAGACAAGTGGATAGATGGATTGACTTTTGATTGATTGTATATGTTTGGGCATTGGATATGAAAAAGAAGAACGATGCCAAATTTTTTGACCAACAACTGGAAGGATGGAATTTCCATGGCCATGTGAGGACAAATTATGCTTCACCTCTCTATGCCTCAATTTTCTGATCTGCAAAGTGGGGGAAATAACCAAAATGATAAAGTTGCTGTGAAAACTAAATAAATACAAGCAAAATGCTTGGAATTGTGCCTGGTGTGTAGAAAGCATATGTTAACTACCATTTCTTCAGAGAATTCTGCACAGTTGGGTATGATTGTGTTTATATTTCTTTATGCTCTCCATCCAAATACAGGCTTCATGGGAGCTGGAACCTCATCCATCCAGGCCATGCTGTTTCATCAGCTTCCATAACAGTGTTTAGACTACTATACATGCTGGATGAAATCCCATGAGTAGAAGCATGAAAAGGCATAAAGCCTAGGTCAGATCACCTGAATTTTCCATGACAGCTTTCCTGACACATGGACTTTTTGCTTCATGTATCCACACTTTTGACTTGGGAGAGTTGATCCCTGCCACTTGTCCACTGGGAAAAAACTTTCTGTGCTATGCCTTCTGATGAAAGAAATGCCAGCTACACACAGACATCTGTGAGAGCTCTAAGATTCCACATATAACAGTGGAGCCAGATCCCTCAGAAGCAGAAATCAATGCATCTGGTTGTGCTTTAATGAGCAAAGCTACTGCCCTGCTTCCATCTCCTGGTTGTGCTGTCAAAGTGTCACACATCTCCAGGATGGCTTCCCATCCCAAGATGGTTTAGCTTGCCATGCATGGGTGGAGGAAGCAGGAAAAGGGCATGGAGCCAATTAGATTGAAAGGGAATCTAGTCTTTGGAGGCCCTTGTCAGGGTGAAGAGTATCAGATGTTCCCAAAGATGACAGATGCTTCTTTATCTGGGCTGATCTCAGGAGTTAAATGTCATTTGTAAATAAGATTTGCTCCATTTGGTATGGCAAGTCCTATTCTCTGTGCCTTATTATTATTTTTTTAATCCCTGAGTCTTTTTTCCCACGTTTTGACATGCTTGTGGTCAGCAGAAAGGTCATTTATGACTATTTTAAATCCTTTGGAGGAGCTATGAAGCAATCAACAGTTAGACAAGTTCCTAAAGGTACTGATGACCAGTTCACATGGTGCTGAACAACCCAGTGGGAAGGAAAAAGCAGAACAAATGGTTTGATGAATAGAAGAATAAATGAGTGAAGTCTTGATTATTTTAGCTGGGGAAGGGGAAATAAGCTAAATTCTATTATTTTACCTTTATGTTGTTGATCTAACTTGTATAGATGATATTATGTGAAATATAATCTTCAAGGAAATGATATCCTAATCCAAGTATAAATAACAATGTTTAATCCAAATTAGGGAATTTTTAACCCAGATCAATGGACTCAAAAATCCAATGTGATCATTTGTATATAGTTAACAATTTACGAAGAGGGCACTTACTACATGTGAGACAGTAATTGTTCCAGTTTTAGAGATGTTATTTCATGAGCCTCACAACCTAAGAGGTGAGTTTTAGTGTTACATGTACACAAGGAAAGTACCTAAGATTCTTAGCAGTTAAGTAGGACTCACAGTTAGTAAATGGCCTTTTCTTGAGATTTATAAACAGGTAATATATCTCTAACTGTACACAAAACGGCATAATAGGTCAAACAAGGGGCCTTTTAGGTTGGAGGAGTGTTTGTTTTTGTTTTGGTTTGGGATTTTTGGTGGGGGCGTTGTTTGGTATGTTGCTTGGATTTTTATTTTGTCTTAGAAAAAGGGCATTTTGAAAGAACTCAAGACCATCTCAAAGAATTTAAGAGCCATGATAATAGTTGTTAAGGAACAGTAAGGAATTGGCATCAGGGAATGGTCAGTCACTAGGAATCTTTGCAACCACCCACCTGGTGTTGTAGCGCTTCTGTGTGTATGCTCTGCAACCCTATGCACTCAGCTCATTGTGCTGATGAGCTCAGTAGTTCCAGCTGCTCAGCCTTTTCCTTCTGGAAATTTTCCCTTTGATAAATGTTGATGTTATAAATCAGGTCAATATCACCATGACTTCCTTTGGATGTTTATTATTCAGAAAGTGTTAACATCTCATAAGGACAGCGCCACACTGTCCATGAATCCCTGGGTGTCCCTCAGTATCTGTTTAAGTATCCTTTCCTATGATTCACACAGACCAAAATGTGTGCAGTTTCCAATCTATGAAGGCCCTTTGGCAACTTTCCACATTTAAGGTGTTTTTTAATCATAAATAGCATAAAGACATACACAAGTGAATGCACACACTTCTCAACAACCCCAACTTATATTTACAACTGGCCTACTTACTGCAACAGCCTTCATGCTAATCCTCAGCTGAGTGGGTTGGCCCAAATCCAGCATAATCAACAGTAATGAGAGCAATGGGCTGAGTCATGCGATGGAATAATTTTTGACTACATGGCTTTGTGAGTAGACATGCAAATCATATGCTTTTTCACCACAGCCACAATGTTGACCACAGTAACAGTTCTCTTTGAAAAGCTACGAACAGATGTGGTGTGACATCAAAGAAGAAGTTTTCAGAGCAAAGGATCCTTTGAGCTCCTTAGAAAGAGAGGGCTATAAAACTCAGAGGAAAGCTGCAAATAGAGAAAAGAAGCCAGGAATGAATCTTCCAGAGCTGAAATTGTTGAAGTAAGAGGCTAGTAATTGCAAAAAGTATTTTATGTCACAAAACAGGGATCAAGAATTCTTGCTCAAAGTCTTATTACAGAGGCATTCATGCATATTGACTCATAAGAAAAGTTTTAAGAGTTAACTTTAATTTGAATCCATTTCAGCGGACCCTGGAGTGAAGAAGAGTACTTAAGAGGCTTGTTAGAGACAGCTTTTGCAGGAAAGGAAGCCAGTGTTTTCATTTCGAAGTTCACTGCACTGAGATTTGTAAAGCCTCTCTAAAAAGAAAAAAAAATTATAACGCATGTTTTCCATTTAGTGTTTAATTCTCACTCCTTAATAAGTGTTTGCAACAGCAGGTATTGGGGGAGAGGGTATTTTTCCTTCATTTTTTATCACGGTTAGTGTTAGTATTTTGTCATACAAAGAGTTTCCATAAGCATAATACCAATTCTTAACATCACACCATTGGGAAATAAGAGCTTTCTATTACATCCTCTAGATTTGCCAACAGGAAACAATTAGGTTAGGTATTGTAGCCCAAGTATATTCAGACTGTCCATAAAGTCAGCATTGCCTCGGGAAGAGTTACAGGACATTTCAGAGTCTTTCCTCAAGGAGAAATGCAATTTCTTTACTGCCAAATCTTGAGGTTGCAACTCCTTATGTGAAAGTGAAAAGGTCTAACCACCAAAGCAGCTCTAATAATTTTCTTGGAATGGCAGAATTATAGGATCTAGAGCCCAAGAAACCTGTTTATAAATCCTAATAGGTCCCTTTATGATTTGATCTTTGGGAACTCAGTTCTCCTTCAGGATTGGATCTCTTAGTTGCAAAATGGTAAGAATAATACTTGCAGCGGAAGGCAGTGGTACTTTTTAAAAACAAGCTTCTCAACAGTTCCTGACACAATGGATGGACCAAGTAAATAGGGACTTAGTTATTTTCTTTTTGATTATGAGAATAATGAAATTTTTGTTAGAAGGTTGAGATCATTTCCCCAAATTGTGTTGCTTTACAAATGAATCGTTGGAATGCCCCATGTTATTCTAGCCCATTGTTAGAAATCCCCATTTTTATTTGGTAATTCAGTTCAATTGCCCTGGAAGAACTTTAATTTTGTACTTATTGTCCTGAGCACTCAGTACCACTCCACAGAACTCCACTGAGTCTCCATCCTATTGAGTTTCTTTTAGTCATTTGTTTCTCCATCTGTTTATTCAACAAACATTTAAGTTCCTACCATGTGCCAGCCTTGAGGTAGATCTTGAATCAGACACAGTCCATGTCTTCAAGGAGCTCTCTAACAGGGAAGCAAAGTGAGCATGAGCATGCTCCAGGAAGGCAGTGACCAGTGTCATGCCCTCATTTAGATTTCAGAGAGAAAAGGCACTAGGAGTATCCATGCATGTAAACTATTTCTGGTCAGTTTCCACTGTGAGTGCCTCACTGCTGCCTGCCCTGCACAGGCAAGACCATGAACAAAGTTTAGAAACCCTCCTAATTCCTTTAGGCTACAGATCAATTTCCTCTTCTGAACAGTTGGGCCCTGATTGTGTTCTCCTTCATCTTAGCCTGGCCCTAATGCGGCCCTCTTAAATGAAGACCCCCTCACTAACCACACAGTAAATCCATCCTGTTTTTCCATTCCATACCCAGCACCTGCCTTTTCCCTTGTGTCTTGTTTTAGGTGCAAATCAGAGAGCCCTTCCTAGAAGTTCTGGCAGGAAATGGGGCAGGGTGTGTTGGCTGAACATCAATTATGCTCTTGTAGTGTCACAGGGTAGCATGATAGTTTCAAGTCCAGATTAAAGTTAAAAAGGCGTGGATACAGCCTGAACACTCAGCACGAGCGAAGGTCTGAGAGAAAATATTTCACCTCTCTGAGCCCTAGTATCTTCCTGTTTAAGCCAGTTGTTGTTATTATTATAAAATATAGTTGATCCTAATCCTAAATAATATACTATCAGCCTATGTGTATCGCCTTCCAAGTTGAATTTTTTGTCCAACATTATATTTTATTGCTCACCATTCTGTTTGTTTCATGAGGCAAATGTAGTATTTTAAGCACCAACTCTGGAGTTAGACCAGGTGGTTTACAGTTTAACTCTACCACTGACAGGTATGAGATATTTGGATAATTACTTAAACTTCTCTCTATCATATTTTGCTCATCTATAAAATGCAGGTGCTAACAGTACTTCTATTACAAGGTTGTCTCTAAAACTACCTGAGTTAATACCCACATAAAAAGTACAGTACTTGCAATAATACCTACAGCAAAATAATAACCCCTAACAAGACCTCTTAATTCTTTTGCCTTTTATTCATGATAATATAGCTTGGTTTTAACTGCCATATAACATTCCATTTTATAAATATGCTACCGCTTATTTTTATTCTACTGTTGAATAAATATTTAAATTATCTCAATTTTTAACTTTCACGAAATGATGATGCAATAAATATTTCTCCTATGCACATGTGTACAAACTTCTCCAGTGCCTACTAGATGTGGAAATGATGAGACTAAAGGAACATGCTCTTTCACCCTGGCTTGATAACACTAAACTGCTTTCAGAACTAGTTGTAATTGGGGCCGGGGCAGGGGGTTAGCTCAGTGGTTCCACTGCCTGCCTCACAAGCACAAGGACCCGAGTTTGATCCCCAGTACCAAAAAAAAAAAACTAGTCATAACCATTGATGTATGAAAGTGCCTATTGAAGCTCATCTTTGACAAATCCCAGTCAAATTCTCTTTGCCAATCTGATAGGGTAACAACATACAACTTGACTGTTGTTTTAATTCATATGTTCCCTATTACTAGTGAAGCTGGAAATTACTTCACATATTTAGAACCATTTGGGTTTCCTGTTCTATGGACAACCTCTACCTATTCTTTTTTTTTCTACTGGGTTATTTATACTTTTCTCAATGTTACCAACATCTCCTCCCAATCTGTGATTTGGCTTTTTGTGTTGTTTAGGGCACAGAAAAGTTGAATTGTTGTTTCACATCTTTTTTATTAGTACATATTGGTTCTACAGAACAATGGATTCCATTGTGGCAGATTCCTATGTGCAATAATATTGATCACTTTCTTTACCCATCATCCCTGTTGCCCCTCCTCCCCACCTGTCCACCCTAATTCATATTTGAGGGAGGTTCAATATATATAATAGATTTTGATTGTATCAGTCCTCCTTATTACCTTGTCTTATAACTTCTCTCTCTCCCTTTTATTCCTTTTTTTTTTTTTTGTACCAGGGATTGAACTCAGGACCTTGCACTTGTGAGGCAGGCAGCAGAACCACTGAGCTAAATCCCCAGCCCTATTCCTTTCCTTTTAAGAATATTCTCCCTTCTACTTTATTATCATTTTTTAAAGATATTCGTCTTTGTAAATTTGGCTTTTTTCTTTCAATATGATGATCTACATATCCATCCATTTTTCCTGAAAGTGACACAATTTCATTGTGCCTTATGACCAAATAATATTCCATTGTGTGTAGAGACAAATTGCTTTCTGTATCCATTCATCTGTTGATGAGCACCTAAGCTGGTTCGGTATCTTGGCTATTGTGAACTGTATGGGAGTAGACATGGATTTAAAGGTATCTGTATATCATGCTGACTTGATTCCTTTGGGTACATACCAAGGAGGGGTATAGCTGTGTCAAATGGTAGTCCTTTAGTTTCTTAGGAAACTATCATATCATACTGATTTCACTAGTGGCTGTACTAATTTACATTCCCACCAGCAGAATAGAAGGGTTCCCTACTCCACCACCACTGCCATCCTTGCCAGCATGATTTGTTTTGGTTTTGTTTTTGAGACAGGTTCTCAATATGTAGTTCATGCTGGCTTTAAACTCACTATGTAGCCTAGACTGGCCTTGAACTCCACTCAGTCCTCCTGTCTCAGCCTCCAGAGTGCTGGGATTGTAGACATGTGCCACCACACATCTATTTTTGCATCCTTGATAATAACCATTCTGACTAAGGTGAGATGGAGTCTCAATGTAGTTTTAACTTGTATTTCTCTAATGGCTACAAACATTGAACATTTTTTCATATACAGTAATACCTCAGTTCATGAATGCTTCTGTTCTCAAACAATTCAGTTCACAAACAGAGGCATTTAGCAAAATTTTGTTTCCATTCACAGATTCCACATGGGGTGATACACACTACCACAGCCATCCTCCCTGCACAAACACAAAGATGGCTAACTTCCCCAGAATTGCAGAACAAATTAAGTTCGTGAACTGAAGTACCACTCTATTTATTGGCCATTTGTGCTTTTTCTTTTGGTGTCTGCTCAATTCTTTTGCCCACTTATTGATTGAGCTATTTGATTTTTTTGGTGTTAATTTTTTTGAATTCCTCATAAATTCTAGATATTAACTCTCTATCAGAAGCATCTAGCAAATATTTTCTCCCATTTGATAAGCTGTCTCTTCACTCTATTGTCTTTCTTGCTGTGAAGGAGCTTTTTAATTTGATATAGTTCCATTTGTTGATTCATGCCATTATTTCCTGTGCTATTGGAGTCCTATTTAGGGCATAGAAATTTTAACAATGTCAGATTTATCAATCATAACTCAAAGTATTGATACTGATCCCCTTAGAGTTCCTTCCCTATATCAAGATCATAAGGATATTCTCCTATATTTGTGTTACCTCTCCCCTCCCTATAATAGAGGAATTTATGACCTGGAATTTATTTTGAAATGACATGAAGTAGAAACTTTGTTGACATGAAGTAGAAACTGCTGCTGCTGCTATTGTTAATTAGTCATCAATGAGCTCAACATTTTTATTTAGTAGTCAATGTACTGACTTGCAAGGTCATACCTGTCACTTATCAAGTCCCCGTATGTACCTCCAGAGTGTTTCATCTGTCTGCATGATTTCCTGGCCCAGTACACACTGTCTGAGTCTCAGTCTCTCAGGATCCTTTAATCTATGAGATAATTCAAGAACTTTGGTTTGTTGGCATCATGCAGATAAATCAAATCAAATCATAGGATGACTATTCCCCAAGCAAGATAACTTTCTCAGCACTATCTAAGTCATGTAGCCTCAATGCCAGAGAAAAGCAGAAGG